AAGTAATCTTCTTGAGGATCAATTATAATACATTATTATATATCATGGCATTTACTCCGTCAAAGAACAACAAAGACAGAAGAGGTAACCCACTCTTTGATGCATTCAGAACTTTTTAACTACTTTGCACCGGACACTAACAAGCCTTTTCCAGTCATCAATGCTTTTTTGCTAACCAAATAAGTTACTAATGGTAAACATGCCTGACTTAAATTATTGCTCTCCCGTGATTATCATATTTTCAGCATATCAGATTACCAAAACCATATAAGACAAAATGTCGGCAGGAAAAATTGCCTGGGATTGGTACCTACACAAAGGACGGCTGCATCTCGCAATGCTTGGCAAACATGACGTTAACTAGATGTGGGTGTCGCACCATTGCCATGTTACAAGGTTTGTGCGGCATATCTTTGAAAGTTTATATTTTTCATCGCCATTTTACATTTTTTTCCCAATGATATCAAAACAAAGGTAAAAAAAAGCGAAACCAAACAAACAAACAAAAAAACAAAAAAATAAAAAATTACATTTAGCTTGGCCTGCGTGTCGCGATTGAACATTGACATTGTGTTTAATTTTTTATACTTTTATCTTGTTCGTACGCATTGCGTGCCTATGCGTTGTGACGTCTAGGTCACATGATTAAAGAGACCTTGTAGTTGAGAAAGGTAAAGAAAAAGATGCGTTGTGGAAAACAATCCCTATTTTTGTGGAGGAAGCGATTTTACACGACACTGCATTCTTAAGTTGTAACATAAAGGAAGGTTTGATTAGAAAAGCAACCAGTTGTCATCAGAGTTGCACACTTTAGTTCCCTATAAAGGAGCTACGCTATATTATTAAAACATTTCCAGTGAATATTTTTGTCCACTTTCAGGTCAGACCGATGCACCTCTATGTTCCATGCGGGAAATGAATTGTCTTGTCAAAACCGAAAGTGAGATAGGTAGGTAAGATTTTCAAAATTGTTATAAAAAAGACAAAAGGCAGAGTCTGCACTCAAGCCAAGTAGCGCAACCAGTAGGAGCTTGCCCCAGTTTCAATAGCAGAAAGCGAGTAGGAATATTACTACTCCCCCCTGGATGGGATACCAGTCCATCGCAAGGTTCCTCCCCTAGCATTTCATCAGGCTTTCCTAAAGGTTACCCGTTACTCATCTATACTCCCGGGTGGGGAAGAGCACTGTGAGAGAAAAGGTTTCGTACCCAGGACACAACGAGTTGTCCCGGCCAGGTCTTGAATCAGGACCTCTCGACCCGGAGTCCAGTGCTCTGACTATTAGACCACTATCTTTCTTCCTTATAAGGTAGAACTAATCAGAATGAATTGCTATATTTTGAATTCAAAGTTTCTGAACGAAATAACAGTTCGTGTAAGTATATCATCACTGAGACTAGTTTTGATTTTTAGGAGAAGACAACTTGTCAGCGTGCTCCTGCAGCAACGCATGCACAGAACTGGAATACGAGACACGTGTTTCTTATTCCAAATTTCCTGATAACTCGATAATTGATATCTTGCATAATATCTTTGGAAAAAAAGAGAGCTCCAGTTACATGAGGTAAACTTAAGTTAATGTTAACTCTAAATAAGCAGGTAAGGAAAAGGTTTCTCATCCAACTCAGCTCCACAATGTAAAATGCAATGGCAAGTGGCTCGAGAAAGAGTACTCAAAATAAGCGAATGTGTCAAATACAGGCTATCACATGAACATAGCGCGCGGTAACACGAATTTCATTCTTGAGTGTTCAGTCATAAGCGAGTGATGTGATGTCATCCACAGGAGAAAATATACGCCCATGCACATGCAGACATGTTTTGTTCGTCGTATAGACACTGATTAACAATAATTTTCACTGTACAGAGAAAACTACGTCTTCCTTCAAGTCGGTTTCCAGCACTTGGCCTATGAAAAGCGGGAAGATGTTCCTAGTTACAAATTAGAGAGTCTCTTAGGTAAGTCAGCTAAAACAGTGCTACATGTATGTGTAGACTTGAACCAGATGGGCAAAATTTCTTTGAACACAAGATGGATTTTTTTCTTGTAGATATATCTTGGCTGACACAGTGTACACTGGCACTTTAATTTAAACTAATGGTAATATAAAAACTTATAATAACTTATAAAATCTCATTCTCTTTGGCACATTGGCTTACTGTGCTACCTTTTGCTCATTACACCAAATTGATCGATAAAGTTCTCGTCGATGACTTGTTACAGGTGAGTTTGGTGGTAACATGGGATTGTTCCTTGGATGCAGCTTATTGACTCTCTGCGAGTTCCTCGACTTTGTGTGGGCTGCTGTAACGTCCCGGATGAGAAGACGTTCCGTAGAAATATCACCGAGTACTGGCACCATCTCATAAACGACACCAACATATGAATTCTACGTCGAAGATTCCTTGAAATATCGTGCAGCAATAGTAGGAAGAAAAAGAAAACAATCGTACTTATTTGTTTAGGATAGAGCAGCGCTGGTTGACAGAGAGAAACGAAATCAGGGAGCGATTGACGTCACTGAAGACGTTGTCAAGGTTGATAAAGAACACGTCAGGTTTTACATCAGCTGAACGTTTGAGTAAAAAACTCCTTCACTTCAGTATCGTCCTAAGCCCCAAAATCTTCCCTTTTTTTTTCTTCACCGTACTGCTTTTCTTCGTTACGACACTGGAAAATAGTTCCTGTGGTTTCTGTATTATCGGCGACAAGTATCACCTTGTGATGGCTGATTTGAGTTTCCATAAACTACTGTTGACTTCCGTGCAATAAAGAGTTTCTGTAGCACTTTTTGAATATCGAATAAACTTTGCCACTAATCGATATCAAACTACGAGTCTTTTTTGTTGCTTTTATTCGTTTTACTTCTATTTAATTTCCTTTTAATATAATATATTTTTTCGAAAAGACACTGTCGAGTTGTTTTTCTTTCTTGAATTTGAAACTCAAACAACAAAAGAAAGTAAAAAAGAAAAAAATGCTGGCAAATCAGAGCTCTACATCATTTTTCCTCTAAAGCGAAAACCAACGCCTTTTTATCAAATGAAAGATTTAAATTTCTATAACCTTAAAATAACAAGTTCATTGAGCACCCTACCCCGATTTGGAACGGCTCAATGTTTTTTGTTTGTTTGTTTGTTGTTTTTTTTTTTCATAAACGGCTTTGGTTCAAAAGCCAAACTTCCCTTGCTGGTTAATTTGGTTTTTTAACTGAGTTCACTTGATAACAGTGATAATGTTCGTTAGTCAGCTCAAAGAGTTTCGACGCTGACGTTTCGAGCGTTAGCCCCTCGGTCTGACGAAGGGCTAACGCTCGAAACGTTAGCTTCGAAATTCTTTACGGTGGCCAAGTTACATTACAAATTACCTTGTTATACTCTCCCACCGACACAGCACCACAGTTTCTTAAGAACCTTACCCCCTTTTTCCGTGCCGGTGTCGAATCAAAGGTAAAGATTACTGTATTTTGAAAACGTTCTTGTAGAATCTCGATTTTATTGATCTTGAGAATACCACACTAGGTTTGAGCAGTGCTCTCTGTTTTGCATTGAGAATAGAAGAGCTTTTCCATACATGGTAATTAGTAGCAGGATCCCGCTGTAGTGAACTGTGGAGTCCAAAGAAGTCAAATTTTCACACGAAAACAAACTTTTTGCTGTATGCAGAGGTAGATTAGATTTGGGAACCGATTAACCAGAGTACTTGTAATTAAAATTCTGGTTGTATTTTCTATATGTTTTGGTTTTTCGTTTAATTAAATTTGGTTGGTGCAGTAATCTTAAAGAACAGAACTTGGCAAGCAAACGACCTATGAACTATTTAGGGCGCTGGCAATTGGTGGTAACCGGGAATAGAAGGTTAAACCAGCACAAGTAATTTTGGTATCTCTGTAATTATTTATTTGTGCATTTCTCCCTTGATTAGTTATATGTTATGTAAAGTTTCATCTTCAAACTGGACGACAAACGCAAAAGAAATGCAAATGATACTGGCAAACTATTGTTTGAAATATAGACCGGATAAAATTTTAATGAAAGTGTTAATTCATTAACCTGTCGACGCTCTGGGTAGTTTGCCAGAAATTAAATGCTTATATGAAATGATATCCTGGCAAACTGAGTAGTTTACAAGACGCTCCAAAAACTAGTTGAAGACAACAACCACCTGAGTAAAGCATACTCCATGGAAAAAATCGTCAATTTATGCAAGGTGGGTTACGATCAATGTTAGGAAAGATATTTAAAGCATCTGCATTTGACAGCCTGCTCCGGTCATCCAGCATTTCAATAGCGGTTTATTGTTAAACGCATTTGATCCAGTTTAATGTCCATTCACATCGGTTCTTGAAACAGTTCACGCCAAAGTCTGAGACTGATTACTGCCAAACACTTGAGAGAATTAAATTTGTCCATGATAGTTCCTTTCTCCTAAATTTTTATTATCATTTAAATTAGTGCTTTAAGATACCTAAAATTCTAGTCCTTTCCTCTTATTTTCTTAACGTTAAGTGGAAAATAAAAGCTTATAACAAGCCAAAGCAAATACGTACGAGACTGATTTCAATTTCAAAAAATCTCGCGCCCATAGTTACAAAGGTAATATTTTGAATCAACGCTTTCTCAGTTGAGGTGAGGTTTCCCTACCTACGTATATCGGATACATTACGGTCACATTTTAGCATCAATTTCACAGACATTTCAATAAGAGCAAAAAAAATACTTTATTCACTCAGTCGTTTCCTTTTCGAGAGCTCTGGCTGAACCTCCTTCGAACGTAGCATAGGCATAGCTAGTTTGATGAGGATTATTCTCTTTATTCTCTGTAGCTTGGTAGCATCCAACTGTGAAGGCGGCAAGTCTAAGTTCTGATGCGTCACGTCCGACGAAAACGTTTTCTCGAGCCAACGCTCGTAACGAAAGTTTGACATATTTCTTTATTTGCTTCCCTTAATTTACAGGACTGAAAATAAAGCAGCATTTCTGACTCTTCACTCAGTAGCATGAATGCTACCCAAGAGAGCGAAAGCGGCGCGTCCAGTTATTGGAAAGACGAGGTGGAGGCTCGCCAGACATCTGTTTATTCCAGATGGAAAGCATTTGCATCCAGGACAACTCTTCATGGGATAAGCTACATCTTTGATAGTAGTCTTCCCATACTTAGAAGGGTTATTTGGCTGATATTTCTCTGTGCCTCTTCTTCAGCCTTCCTGTATCTTGTGACCATAAGCATAGGCAAATTCATTTCTCTGCCAATGAAAACAGTGATTACGCAAGAGGAACCACCTAATGGCCTTAAATTCCCCGCTGTGACCATCTGCAACTTGAACAAGTTTATGAAATCCAAGATAGATATGGCTGACGATGAAAAAAGCTTTAAAAAGCTAGGTTTGAACATAAGTGGGTGTGATGAGATAAGAGAGGTTCGAGGAAATCTGACTTGCGGGCAAGCACTACTATGCGCTTACTTTTTGTATGCTCCCGCACTGGTGAAGGGCTGCGATGAAACAATACGCCAAAACGTAAACGACGTGCTCAACGGTTCCTCCAACCGTCTGTTTAGCGAAGAAAAATTTCTCACCAGTTATGGTCACGACATGGCTGGCATGTACATGGATTATTGCCGTTACACGTCGCAACTCTCGTGCTCCGATAAAGACTTTGTACCAACCATTACACCGGACGGTTTGTGCTTTACTTTCAACTCTGGTTACAATAACACTCCAGTGCTGAATTCTTTTTTTGAAGGTCCCGAACTAGGATTGAACATTCTATTAAATGTTCAAACGAATGAAAGCACCCTCACTGATTTTTCAAGCGGACTGAAAGTAATAGTTCACGACCAGGACACCTACGTTAACCGCCGCAGTGGATTTAACATCGCTCCGGGCACACATTCTTCGGTTGCAGTGAGATTAAGAAAGGTTAGTATCACTCAGCGCGTTCCCAAATACAAAAGCATTCAAGATTCACATACTGCCGTACTTTCTTTGAAATATCAGACTAGATGATTCACGACGTTTTGCTGTTTCAGTTTATTTTATCTTTTCTTCCGAGGTTGCTTTTCGTCCCAAAAGTCTTATATAACAATATCTAACACTCCTTGTGCGGTTGATGTTTTCTTTATTTCTTTTTATAACTTTATACAACTTACCACCTTGGTTTCTAGCTCTGTTCTGAAGGAGACTGTATCTCACCAGCTTATATGGGTGACACTTACTGAGTTGTCAATCTTTAAAACCCTCGTCGTTAATTCGCACTTGACTGGCGAACTACATGGAACGGATTCTGAAAACTCAGCACTTTACTTCGAGAAGGTGACTCTACAAAGTGACTTTCTATACTAAATTTCTTTCATTTCCAGCTTACTTCTGGTAAAACAAGAACAAGCCTTGACATGGCCATATGGAAATTGTAGTAAACTTATTGATAGAATTAGAATTATACTTTAAAATTATCCAAAGAGAAAAAAACCTTTGAAGACTGTTACAGAACAACAGAATAAACAGAGAATTTGGAGAAGAAAGGGCGTACCCAAGGTACCACCCCTTAAAGAGTTACGTGCTTTTCACATAGGTTACCTGATTATAATTTCAGTGCGGAGGATGAAAAGCATAACTTGTTCACACCTTTAAACAACTTAAAAGAAAGATGTGTTGAACGTGCTCTAAATAAAAATTTAAGAATTATTTTCCGAATCGAATTGACCTAAAAAATGAGCCTGAGGGAATCGCAAGTATAAAAAAGGGAATTTCTAGGAAATTCCTGTACGGGATTAACTTTTACCAGATCGATATACTTTGTTATTGATCAAACGGATTAATATAATTGAACTATAGCTTACCGAAAGATAATTGAAATATTCTATTACAAATTCCAATTACCGTAGAAACTGAATATCTGTTTTCATGTCAAATTCGAGATAGGAGAATATGGAACCTAACTAAAAATCAATGACAGCCTAAAACAAATATTTTGCAGAGTTAAATAGACTATTTACTCACAGTAAGAATAGATAACAATTGCTCTACTTGCACAGTAAGACCGCTAAAGAAATAGGAAATGGTCGACTAGCTCATTATATTTTTTTTACTGAATGGCTTGTGCTAATATATTATTTCCATTCATTTTCCCAACACCAAGATGTGGAAGCTCTCACAATACTTCTAGATAGGATAGGGGTCAATTTTGTCGTTGGACAAAATTTCTTTCCCAGAATTATCAGCTTGACCTGGACGTCAGTTAGTATACAACGTAAATTCATATGTCAATCCGAACAAAGCTAAAACATCTCACCAAAAGGCAGTAAATGCATAAAAACGGCCTTCACGTGTGGCACACTTGAGTGAACACTCTCTCGTAGAACTTGTACTTCTAAACTTGATAAGTTGACCAGAAGGCACGAGCTTCATTTGAGGAGAGCAGAGAAACAAAAGCAACGCAATCTTTGAGTATTTTAACCCTGAAAATTGCCCAAAATTACTGTGGTAATTTTGTACGTATTCTAGATACGACCTTAGCCAAACCCAAGGCACTGATATTTTTTTTGTGATTACTACACACGTTGCAGCCACTTAGTTATCATCTAAGTTCACGAACGAAAATAAGTAACCACGGAATAACATCGGAACCAATCAAAATCCAGTAAGTGCTCTTTCGGAACAATTCGTATGACCAACATTTGACGAATTTTTTGTTATTTTTCTTAAATTATTTGAAGCACATTCGACTTCCAGCACCATACAAAACAAAATGCCGACAAGATAGACTCCCAGGGTTGGGTTCCTACACGAAGGACGGCTGCATCTTTCAATGCCTCGCAAATTACACCCTGGCTCAATGTGGATGCCGCCGACTCGGATTGATAGGTTAGATATTATAATTAGAACTATGACAATAAGTAACTAAATTACATCTTTACCTGCTATTTTGGTAATAACTGAATACCAACATTGGTTACATGCCTTAAAAACTGCATTTGTGCTAAAATGATAAATCGATCGATAAAATAAAACAAAAAGTTCAAACAGGCCTTTGGTTTACCTATAAGATTGACTGAGCTTATTACATCTAGAACAATATCTCAGCTGAGTGTGGACGAATATATACTTCCTATAACATATACCCTATTCACACCAACAAGACACATTTGTTCAACTGGTTGTTACTGAATGAAAACTGAAAAACTGAATTTTCCATAGGATTCAGGTACTTGCTAACTTGTTTTTCCAATGTGTTACATTGTAAGTCAAATAATATTAGGTTACACAGCTTCTATGAAGAAAAAAAATTTACACTGTGTCCAACAAAACAAGTTAAAACATGTTTAAGCTTTAGTTTGAATGAAGTAATAGTATTCTCCACAAATAACAACAATGGTTATAACTGACAAGTTAGTAATCATAAGAGCAATTAATGGTCGAGCTACTTTAACTTGAAATCCTTTTTTTTTGGACTTAAAAGCTTGTATCTATAAAATCTATACGGTAAACGACTTCACAGATTTTTATCTTCTGTTATATGTCTCTGTTAGAACCAAAGACGACACCCCTGTGTTCTCTCCAGGATGACCAATGTCTTAAAAAATCTAGAGGTAAGACATATGCGACGGCGGTAACTTAACGGTCCCTAATTTAATATTCTTTCTACCTGAGCTTGATCAAATGTAAAGCTACTTCACGATCATTGAATAAAACTGGATTTTCCTCGGTGGAGAGACACCACAGAGATAAGACCAAAGTCAAAAAGAACCACGAAAAGATAAAAAACGACTAGATTAACACGGAATGTCATGAACTTATGAAAATGTGTCTAGTTTTTTCTGGATTGACAGACGATTGTTCTAGGATCCGAATTTACTTAGAGCACGATTATAGCAAGCCAGTTATCACAGTTCTCTAGGAAGTAGAATAACTATAGCTATGTTCCTATAATAATCCACATACCCTGTCTTATTGCAGCTCTATTAGTCGATGACATAACAACAAATTTTATTTCATTTTTAAGGGGATTGGAATAGGTCAAAATGTCACTGCAGCAATGCATGCTCAGAGGTGGAATACGTACCCCTTGTTTCTTACTCCAACTTTCCTGATGTCTCAGCAATTGCAGTTTTACAACAATTCAAGGGGAAATCAGAGACTTCTAGTTACATGAGGTATGCTCATACTAAGGGGGGCGTTATTAAGATTTTTTATTACTATTTATTTCATTTTATAAGATTTATTTTAAACCAGAAGATTATAGACATCAAAACTTGTCGCTTAAGAAAACGAAACGTGCATTATTTGACGTTTTTGGACCTTTGTAACCTACAACAGTTGCTCGCCGAGAGGCCGGTCTCTCTCCTGCAGCTTACCACCGGCATTTTGGCCTGCAAATAGGTAAATTCTAGGAGTGATGTAATTTATCTTTTTTGTTTCTTTGATTCCATCTTTTGTGTGCAGAGAAAACTATGTCCTTCTCCAAATCGGCTTCACGCGTTTAGCTTACGAGAGGCTTGAGGATATCTCTAGCTATGGAACAGAAAGTCTGTTTGGTGAGATGGCTTCGTAGCAAAAATTTAAGATTTAAGTTGTAACATCCAACGCATTGCCGCTATCTTTTTTAGACCTACAACTAAAAAGGCACGGTATTAATCACAGATGGGTGATAGATGCCTGAAAATTCGCTAGAAACCAATCACATTCTCAGATAGGGGATGTTGGGTCTCCCACTCAGGGAGGAGAACGTTTCAAGTGAAACGCTATTCGGTATGAGGGCATGAACCACTATCTCGTATTGAAGATGTTTCCAAGAGTAGTTTAGAGATGGAGATAGTTTTTTTTAATTAAAAGTGGTCATTGAAAAATTTCATTCAGGGTTCTTCAATAACAAATGCGTCTAAAAGCAATTTCAACTAATCTCTGATTAGTATAAGAACAAGAAGGTAAATTGAAAGGTTGCACTAACCATTGACTACTCAAAACAAAAACATTGAACGGCCATGAGGACGAAAACTGATCAATGTTTGAAATATGCGGTATAATGTAAGTGCAAGAAAGACTTCAATTTCAAAACCGTCTTTTTGTTTCAGGGGAGTTTGGAGGCAATATGGGCTTGTTCCTTGGTTGCAGCTTACTGACGTTGTGTGAGTTCCTGGACTTTTTTTGGGAAACATTCATATTCCAGATGAGAAAGCGTTCTCCTCAAATAAATGCGGACATGAAAGACACAAGTGACCCTCAGTAAAACATAGCCTTGTGACCATCATAACATTCATTTCCTTAAGTTAGTATCTCGTTTTGGCATCTAAGGACAAATAATCACAATTTGACTTATTTGCAAAGGATTTTTTTTTTAATGGTGTATCCAGTTATTATTATCACTTTATCTAGTATTGTTAACGGTATCATTATCATCATAGTCATTCCTGACAGATTTTCTATAATCGAAATATAAATAATAATATCGTGTTTGGTAATCAACATTTGATTGATATGACCCAGTCTAAAATAACTTTTTTGTATATTTCCATTATTGTAATTGTTTCTTTCACCATTTTTACTCTATTTCCGTTGATGTAGAGGGTAGTGTTCAACTGCACTGCATGTAGCTGTTAGCATTAAAAGGGAAGGACTGGATGAATTATAAATTTTCCATGAAGTTGTAAATATCGACATGTAAAGAATGCATTTGTAGCGGCGTAAGTTCTGAACCGGTTTGACGGATAGTGATATTAATCAGTAGTACAGACCCTTGCAGAAGATGAATTGAAATAAAGTCCTGAATTATCTTAAAGATAACTCCTGCCTGTAGTTGAAGCTTTGAATTCTAGTCTGGACTGGACCCACCACATGCACTAAAACTCCTGGTAGCTAAGCAACCAAACTAAACCTGAACTAGGCGGTTATCCGCAGGAAATGGTGAGGTGACAGATTAATGCAGGTTCCACAGAATAGGGATAACATAAAAAACGCCATTTTATGCCATAATTGACCCTTTCATGTACAAACACTCGCCCAAAATACTACTAACATTGATTTTGGGAGAGAAACATGGATAAAATTTTACTTGAAAGATTAGTATTTGTTTGACTTAAGTGGCTCCGCTTGGAGCCATTAGGACTCAGTCAAAGGTGACCACCACCGCTTAATACTGGGTGTCGCTTAGTACAGTATCGCTTAAGAGAGGTTCGACTGTAAGATCATTTGACAGACATTCCGCATACAGTACAATTAGACTTGAATGTCTTTCACGTCATAATAGAAGTTATTATATGAATCCCGCGTGCCTCTTGGTATGTACATGCATCCTGTATCCAGCTACTGATATTGACCCCGTCCCTATGCTCTTTTTTGTTTTTAGGCGTAAACAAGAACAAGCTCCTTATACCAATTAGTTAGAATGTTTCATACTCCTTCGTTTCCCATCTGCTCCTGAGCAATATTTCTATTCTTGTTCGCTCGATATTCCAAGATGTTCCAAGCCAGGTCAAAAAATTCAAATATTGTTAATAGACTGCAGCCCAGGAAAAGACCCATATTTCCACCGATATCACCTGAAGAAAAACACACACGTTCATTATTAACCTAAGCTAACCCTATATTTGTTCCCCGAAGTTCTACCTCAAGTTAATTAATTCAAAGACAACATGCATGGTGTATGGAGGATTTTTTTCTCGTTCAAAAATCGTAATTGGCTATGGTTATCAAAGATATCCACAATCTATCTACAATACAATTATTCCACCATCACTTTGCTTCTGCATCAATATATAGTAACAATACCAACAACAATAACAACAACAATAACAACAAAAACAACAAGAAGGCAAATTTTTCAAATTCTTAAATACCCATCAAGCTCCCAATCTTGTAGCTTGGACTTTCTCTCATCAGAGTGTATCCATGACGCTGATATCCAACCTGGAGGAACACTAAATTTTCCCTTAAAATGAATTTGAAACAACGCTTTTACACGAAGTATTTTGCTAAATTAACACCCATCTTATTTGGGATAAGCACGGTAACTTCTATCTCTTACTGATAGAAAACTGTAGTTGAGAATCTATTCATGGATAAATTTCTAATCGAATTCTAAAATGGACCAACACCAAAACAGTTAAGTCACGATTAATCCACTCATTCGAATGTGCATCGAATGTGCATCCTCTTAGGTACATTTTGACATGGTTACCTCTGATATTCTACGCTTTTGTTGTAAGCGTGCTTGTATTTTAGAATTTTAGATGCTCCATCATCAGGGAATTGAGAGTAAGACACCTGAGTCATGTACTCTGTCTCCTCGCAAGGAATATCGCATGAACAGTTGAAAGGATTGTACGACTCTGAAATGAAAAAGGAAAACTTTTTTTAGAGAGCGTTTAAGTCTAAAACTTTTCAGTTCGGCTCAGAGACCTTCTCTTGTAGCTTCACCATATCTTCGATCCTTTAAAGACGATGAATTTCTGCAGGAAATGAACTCATATATCTCCTAGTCGACCGACGTTTTTCGGAAAATGTTTTGTTATAGATGAGTAACGAGGGTGCGTCTCAAAAGAAACTGTGATGCTGTCTAAATTAACCACCATAAAGAGTTTCTAAAGATGACTTTAGAACGTTAGCCCTTGATCAGAGCATCTCTCTTAAAGATGGTCATGAAAATGTTCAACATATGTATTACTAATAAAAAGTAAACCGGTATAACTGGAGTTTCTTGTTACCTGCTTTCTGTTTCTCGCAGAAGTGGTGTTGAAAAGAACAAACCGGCGAGTTTGATGGCACTGAGATGCAAACAGGAAATATCAGATTTATTTGAATAATTAATACAACATGACGGTGGACTGTGAGAGTTGTCACTCAGCTTGTCCCATGGAAGGTCAACGTACCCCAAGAAAGGCCACCGGAGTCTATTTTACTATGCCAAGTTTGCAGGCGAAGCGAGGATAAAATGTTTTGACTATTATGGTACCTGCTTACCTGGAGCACCGATCTCTCTACAGCCGCACCTTTTTAAGGTGACATTTGCTTTACATTGTATGAAGCAGCCATCTCTACTGTAACGGGTTATTTTAGGAAGGACTCTCCTCGTGCAGTCAGACTTATACGGATACGGTAGTCGCTCATGCTGAAATTTTTGTAGGAATAGAAAAATTGTCTTAGATATTGCTTTTGTACAACTTGATTAGTTACTTTGATCTAATATTTGTTTTACATACGAAAAGAAACAGAGCTTAGAAATATAAAATTTACAAGTTACGATGATTTTTCGCTGTTCCAAGCACAGGACACTGCCTCCCACTAGGGTGTTTCATCTTCCCTTACCTGAAATCGACCTCATACCAGGAGATACTTAATCTCCTAGTTTGAGCCGTAATCATACCAAAACAAAATGAACCCATATCTTCGGTTGGGAAATGTATTAAACGAGTAAGTTATCCGGCTAGAATAACTAAATAAATAGATACTCTTTCAACGACAAGTGAAGAAGGTTAGATTAAATGTCCGGATGTTACAACGCAAAGGTTCTTCCAGAAGATGCAAGTGATCAAATCTCTTCTCCAAACTGATCATCGTATTCAGAATAACTGTCAAGGTCCAACCTATCTGAGCTCGACAAGTACGAAATGAGAGAGTTCACAATGAGTTATTAGTTTAGTTTGGGTCCTGTCTCTGCGATTGAGTTTTTGCAATATCTAGCATGAGTAAATCTATTAAGTGAAGAGCTCATGATTTATGTATTATTTGGTTTTGTCCTGTTTGTTTTCTTTCTCGTTTTGTAGAATGTTTTCTCGTGTTTTTGCTGTTGTTTCCAAAACAACTTTATCAGCATATCTTGAAAAAGTTCCAAGCCCATCATTCGTCCTCTTTGGCAACAGTAAGTTTCGATGGCTTCGTCAAACATTTCCTATCAATGTTTAACGTGTCAGGAACGATCTTCACAGGCGTACAACCGTTCTGTCAGACATAAGCATGTTTATCTTCAAACTGATAGACGTAACCTGCTAGTGCATCGCGTATCGCACAGAAAAAGGCTCTTATCTGGTTCGCGAAAATAATTTTTTTTAAAAAAACTGAAACACATTTTAACGGTGCAGCAGCTGGGATATGACAAGACTTACCTTTATTGCAGCTATTCGTGCCAAAGCGTGTGATCCAGGAAAGACATTAAAGCCTTTATCCAAATTTACAATGGCTCCTGGATCATGTACAACAACTCGCAGCCCTCGCGAGAATTCGCTTACAGTGTTTTCGTAAGCCTGTACATCTAAAATAACACTTAGACCTCCTGATACTCCAGCCCGTCTTGTACTGCGCACTTTGGTTCCATTTTTCCCGGAGTTGAAGGTAAAGCAGCGACCATTTTTGGTAAGCGTTGGATGAAAATCGGCACTCGTGCAGTCCTGCGATACTGAAAAGCGACAGTAATATAGAAACATTTCGGCAAAGTCATGTCCGAAAGTTTCTATAAACTCTTCGGGGTTGAAAATTGGCTCCTTTGTCCTGTTAAGGGCACTGATTATTCGCTGTCTTATGGTCATGTTGCAATTCTCTGCAATTGCCCAGCCAAATGGTTCAAAGGCACACATTAGCGCTTGTCCACAACTCAAGGATTTGTTCACCTTACTTGTCACTTCACAAGCAGAGAGATTTAACCCCATTTTGTGAAAGTTCTCGTCATTTTCAAACATATTAATTTTCCTTTTGACGAATCGGTTTAGGTTACAAATTGTCACCGCAGGAAACGAAATTTCTCCATTCTCAGGGACAACCTCTGTGAATTCTGTGTTAAATGGCTTTGAGGAGTATTTCTCAACACTTTCTATTAAGAAATAGATATCAATCGCGATTGCACCCAAGAGAAGCAACAGCCAAATCAACCGACGAAGTCTTGAAGGGCTTTCAAAGACATAGCGAAGACCGTGAACGGTTGTATCAGACACAAATTTTCGCCATTTGGTGGCAACCATGCTGTTAGAGCCTTGTTGAATCGAAGAATCGAAGCCAAATCGAAGCACCTTACACTTCAAATAAAATATCTCTCTGGTGCGTTTCTACTTTACATAAGACAGAAAAAACCGCTGATAAAATTTCTCTCTGATGCGTTTCCACTTTACATAAGACAGAAAAAAGCGCTAATAAAATCTCTCTCTGGTGCGTTTCCACTTTGCATAAGACACAAAAAAACGCAGCGGAAACCATAAATAATTTAAACACAATGAAATCCAAAACAATCCTTAATTCGCCTGTCTTTCCTAAATGTTTAAAAAAAAATAGAATAACACAATCCTGTTATTCCTTCCTTCCTAAAAGGTTCATGAGAAATATAACAACAGTAATACAGAATAAAATTTAAAATAAGGAAAAAGGGAAAATTGTAAATTATACCTTTCATCAAAATAATGACTTGACAGTTAAAAATTGAAATCATTCATTATTTTTATTTCCGGCAGTATTGAAAAAGGCAGATTGAGAAGACAAAAGGATGATGAAATGTGTGCGCAAGCCTTCTTTAATTTGTTACTTGAAACATTAACGCAGAGAGAATTCGCACCTTTTTTTTCCCGAACGAAACACCTACACTTACCAATACGTTTTACAGTCAAGATGAAATTATAACGGCTTAATCACAACGGAGGAATGGACCCATACGAGGCTAAAAAATTAAAATACTATTCAGAATTAAATTCATTTGCAACGAGCAATTACAGTGATAGAATGCGTTCTGCTTTACAACCTAAGTTGGAGTGATTGCTCTCAATGTCTGACTTAGTTAGTTGTAGGCATAAATGACATACATAGTTCATCAAAGCACAAATTTCGCGCATTTGATCATATGCACATGTAAAATGTGCATTACAAAGAACAAATATTATTATTAAAATTTATTGCATGCAAGTAATGACCCTTTTTTCACTACAATACTGCTTGTGTGTTGTAATAATTAATTAAAACCCCGTTACAAATGCGCGTGGTTTAAATTGTAACCTTCACAGTTACTTAAAAGGCTATATGAGAAAGCCTTATGAAATAATTTGACAGTTTTCTGATGGTGTTTGCTCTTTATTTCCGATCTGCAAAACAAAACTGATTTCTAATTAAGACCTCATTCATCAAACTCTCGCATGGAACACGTTTCATTGTTTACCAAGATGGCAGGGAATCTATTTTTAATCCAAGTGGTGAAGTCCAAATTACAGTTTTGACTGACGCACATTTCAACGAAACAGCTGCCAAACTTGGCTGATGAGTGTAGTCATATCCCAAAGGTGCTACTAAAGAACATGTGAATGCATGCAATTTACTTAAGGTGGCTTTGGAAGAGTTTCTTAATGACTTTTTTTTGTGCTTATTTCGTTTTTTTTTTTTTCAATAAATCTAAACATCATGCAGGTGCTTGAAGACTCTTTCACAATCAGCGCATGCTCAACCCCGTTGACATAGCTTATCACCAATACATTACACCGTTTATAACCTTGCAGCGCGTGCACGGGTCTGGACTGAAATAAGTAATCTGAGCCAAAAGGGAGATTCGCCGTATTCTCTTTGTGCTAATAGGCCGTGATATTTTGAATGTAAGTCCCTCGTGTCTGAGGCATAAGCCCGGCCTTCTACAAACACAAATTATGTTGTGAGACTTTTCGAATTCATTTGTGTGAATGATACTTTGGATAATCACCAGAAAATAACTTTAAGCATACAATAATCACTGAAACGGCCAAATGACAAAAATTTAATAGGGAAACCAATTTCAAAGTGTTGGTATAATGAAGAGTTTTAAAATAGTAACCAAGCTGTATGAAATTCTTGGTCGATGCATTCTCCTTTCATTTCATTCTGTTTCAGATTTTTCCCTTCCTGCAGAGTCTATTTTTCGAACTCGGTTCTCCTTGAACTTCAAGATTTTCCACAACAAGTCTCCAAACTCAAACAATGTCAATATGCTACAGCCCAAAAATAGTCCCATATTGCCTCCAAGATCACCTGGTGTAGAAAGAGAACGAAAAGTAACATTAAACAACGAGTTTCGCCAGATGTTACATTCACATTACTTTTCCTGACTATCGTTTGTTGGTTGCGAGTTCTTTCTGCTCCTCTTGTCTTTTGGAGAAATTTGAGTTACTAACGACAAAATAATAATAATATTATTATTATAACAATAATTACGATAATGATGACCAGAATAGTGAAAATAATACTAATGATATTAATAACAATAATAATAAAATTAAAATTATAAATACAATAAATAAAAGTAATAGACCAGCGAGTTGGAAAGTCAGTCTCATCTTTTCAGCATCAACAATTCAGAAAATGCAGGGTTATCAATTTATCACAATCTCGAGGTAATCTCTTCAAACAAAGTTTATCGTAATGTATTGTGATACGCAGGCAGTGCTGCAGAAAAGCGAAAGAGAAAAAGATCGGAACTGTAAACTCTACACATCTCTAATTAAGCAGTTTTACTCTCATCTCCGAGGTCCATTTGTTAATCTTACACTAGGAAAAAAATGATTAAAAAGGCTAGAATAGAAAAGAAGTCAAGACAGTCAAATCAATTATCTTTGGCACAGAATTTCTAACCTAAGAGGCTCTCGATGCCATAACTTGCTCTTTCTTCCATGACTGTGTACCCTTGGTACTGGAACCCAATTTGAAGGAAAACCAGGTTTTTCCTGAAAATCAGAGGAAGACCACGTGGAAAAAGTGACAGCTAGATATTAATTCCTTTTAAACTTTCTTAAGAAAACCCTAAAAAACTAAATAATTTTTAGTTCTATTTATAGCATCTCAAGGAAATTTCTTTAAACAAAATGTGCAGGATTCACATTATAATATCTGATATGTAAGCTGTGTAATCGAGGATTTTCTGACAAAAAGCTCAGTAGTGTATTTCTCTAATTTTATGTACTCTGTAATCCACGTAACAACGAACATAGGTCCAAAATGTATCAGTATAATTGTCCACTTCAAACTCTCCATGATTAATTTCAGTTCTTTAATTTCGATTGGTTTACAAGGCACGGTATCTGAGCTAATATGCCATGGACCCTTGGTGTAGGTGTACGTTATAAGCAGAGTAGTTTTTGATTGTTTTTAGCATATTCTGAGACATTTCTGTAAGTGCTTTTAACCGAAAAGACATTTCATTTACGATCGTTGTATAAAAGATGGTTTTAGCCAACTCGTTAGACGTACATCATCTCAAAAGCAGCAAGCACCGGGAGAATGAGTGTTACATTACTTTCAAGGGCCAAAGGATATTCCAAAATTTCTTACATCTCATAAAACTTTGAATGTGTCACTTTGTTCATTTTAAATATTGGCAAATATGCCCGAATTTCCAACTTTCATGCTTTTTACACTTAGTAACCTCTGATATTCCATGCTTTTATTATAGCCATATCGTTGATGAAGTATTTTTGCAGCACCGTGGTCCGGGAATTCAGAGGTAGACACTTGGATCCTGTAATCAACTTCTTGGCAAGGCAACCCGCAGAAACAGTGATACGCATTGAATGACTCTGAGTGCAAGAAGAGTTCACGTGGTATGAAAGAGAAGCATCATACACGCAAGTGGTCAAACCAACGAACAAACAAAAAAAATTGTTTTACATTATAATCTCAATCAATCAGCCTCCTTCAGTTCAATACTCTTCCTGGTCTAAGGAAGTATACATTTGCACATATAGCTGAACAATTTTTTCTAGTATTAAATTAAGATCAAACATGCACAACTACAACTACTCAAATTCTCTAGATATGACTCTGGCACTTTTTTTCCCCTTTTCATCAACTAGATGTTAATAAATCTATTAGTTTATTAATTACGACATGAGCACGTTTTCACACCTAATATCGTTACTTCACTAACAAGGAAAGCTCGGCTTATTGCACCAAACTGGGGACATTTACAACCCACAAACCCGTGGAAGGAGGACCAGTGAAAAGAGCTCAGACACTTTTTTGTTTTGTGTTTGTTGGACAGATGAGCATAGCCTTTGAACTTCAAAGAAAAAAAAAATTACACAAACCTCTAGTCTTAGTGAAGCAATATTGGTGTTGGAACGTGCAGACTGGAGCCTTTGAAGGAACTGCAGACGTTGAACAGAAATCAAAGGAGAGCAAATAATTAAACATAATAAAAAAAGTTATTTTTTTATCATCATTAGCGGTGGACTCACTAAGTTAAGAGCTTTATTTTGCATATCTGTATTTGGCAACGTGTTCCGTTTCACCTACGTGGTACTCCAACCAGCTTACATCCGCACATTTCCACGGTCTTGTTGGCAAGACATTGTATGATGCAGGCGTCCCTACTGTAGTGAGGTATTCCAGGAAGTACTCGCTCTGTGCAGTTTGTTTTGTATGGAGATTTGAGACGGTGTCCCTGCCAAATACAAGACAGAAATAGACGAGACTTGGTTCTAGCTTCATTCTGTTTTTGTGATAGTTTTACTTTTTGTTTGTCCAGTGTTTGTTGTTGCAGTTTTGTAGAAAGCTCACATGTCGATTTGGTAGTACTACAAGCTACATAAAATTTGACAACTTTTGGACTTTTATTAATTCTCCCTTTGAATTTTTAGTTCTTCTCCAAGCAATTTCCAGACCACTTCAAATCTCGCAACCAAACCCCACAAAATGCCTTGCTCAACGGAAAAACCTCCAATCATATCCCAGAATCACGCAAATGTTTGTGGATCAGAAGTATTGTTGAATTGGAGGGAAGGGGAAAAAATACTTAAAATTAAAAAACTTACCTGTATGGCAGTTACACGGACCAATGTATGTGAACCAGGAAAAACGTTAAATCCATGATGGTCCATGCTTAAGTACTCTCCTTGTTCATGAATGATCACTCTCAACCCACGAGAGAATTCACTGATGGTAACTTCATCCGTTCGAACGTCCAAAACGACAGCTAGGCCGCCAGAAGATCCCGCGACACTTGTGTTACGGACTATTGTTCCATTTTCTCCTGAGTTAAAGGTGAAGCAACGGCCACCTTGAATCAAATTAGGAAAGAAATCTGCAGATTTACACTCCTCCTTTGTTGCAAAAGTACAGTAATACGTAAACATTTCTTCAAATTCATGTCCGTAAGCACCCAAGAACTTTTCCGGGTTAAACACTGCTTCCTTGGTGCTGTTAAGAGCATCAACAATTCGCTTCTTGGTTTTGTTGCAGTTCTCTATAACTTCGACCCCATACCTTTCGTGGGAACATAACAAGGCTTGTCCGCAAGTCATGTTAGTGATGACCTTCCTGACGGCTGCGCAAGAAGAGAGATTTAGACCCAATTTGTGAAAGTCTTCCTCGTCGTAAGGCATATAGATTTTCCTTTTGACGAAACGGTTTAAATTGCAAATCGTTACAGCAGGGAAGGTAAGGTTTCCGCTCTCCGGAACAACCTCGGTGTATTCGATGTTTACCGGTCGGGAAAAGTAGAGAGCTATACTCTGTTGCGCGAAGAACAGATACCACGCTATAGATAGTAACAGAAGAATTAACCACACAAAGCGGAGAACTCTGGAAGGGCTTTCGTACACATAGCGGAGGCCATGTACTGTAGTATTTGATGCGAACTCTCGCCACTTTGTACTCATACTCCAGCCTTTTTGTGTCTCTCCCCAAGCATCACCAAAAGAGACTAAGCGGCACTAACGCAAGTTTTAATAGTTATGAGCTTCCGTGGGAAAACTGATGTGTAGTTTCTGCTGACTTCTCATGAAATTTTTATAAAGGGTATACAGATACGGTAGGAACACACTGAAAATCAATTATTGTGAAGGACTCATGAATAAAACCAACCTTCCTTAGCAACCTGTATAACACGTTTTCCTTTCAGCTGCGAATTGAGCCATCACTGCTCATCGCGTATCAAAGGCTGCCTAAGACATCTTTACAGCATTTGTTGGGATATGGTTGTGGGTGAACATGAATTAAAGGGGAAAGAATAAAGGTATTATCAAAATGAATGCGATTCATGAACGATAAAGGAGTTCTTTCAAACACATTTTTTAATCTCTACAGACTCTGTCTCGAACCTTGGAGAAAAAAAATTTTCTTGTTCTTTTCTAGCTCTTAATTACTTTTTCCCTTTGGAGTCCAGTTGTTTGAACTTTGTATGATGATCGTCAAATATCTGTATGATCACACACTGTACAAGCTTGAGCTAATGATTGACAATGACAGCAGGTTTGAGAATTATTCTTTTTTCGCAAAAAATCGAACGACAAGACAAGTTCTAAACAATCCTGAAAGCAATCGCGTTTTGAATTTCCTCAAATCCTCAGATTCTCTCACAACAAAAGAAAATAATGTCCTATAATTTTTCTCTTGCACATCCATTATTTTCCCTTGTTCACAATCAATAAAACAAAGGAAAAAATCAAGCCCATCTCAGCTAACTCGTAAATAATGAAAACGGAAATATCCTACATATGTATGCTATTATCGTCTTTATACGCACGAAAGTCCAAAACTCAGTGCTTGATTGTTTTTAGGTACAGGATATTACTGTTTTGTAGCCATCCGCCGTTATGAAATGTTTCGGGGCGTAAGGAGGGAGGAGTTTAAGATGAATGATGATAAAGTGATGACTTTAGTGATGAGACAGGCTCAACATGGTGGAGCTATTACTTATGGGGCAAGACGATAAACAGGGGGACTAGAGTAACAAACAATGGCCTGATAAATTCACCAACAGGATCAACCACAAAGTATGAAAAAAGTCTTTTAATATTTTAATGCTAAACCGATTATAAACAACGTTGCCTGACAAATTAACGTAGCGGAATCCGTTGTCTTCAGTTTATCATTACAACATACTATCCTAAAACAAATACATGTAGATGCTTTCCTATCTTACACTGATATCGATAATTATACATTTCATTATGATAAGTATTCCTAGTTTTTTACCACCAGCATTTTCCATTAGCGCTTCACGGGACGCGCTTTTCCCGCTGTTCTCGCTTCCACACTATCACAGTTCCCTTAGGAAGACAAAGAAAAAAAAAATAATTACATTGAGAAAAGTTAATCAATTATTGATGGTTTCCTAACTTGCTTAAAATCGACTTTTTCATAATGGAATTATACTGCACGCAAATATAGAGTTCCTTAACCAGGTCGTACAGTTAAAGCATTGTCATTTTAAGTTCTTGCAGAAATTTGTAACAAGGTATATAATGAAAAGAAACAAAAATTCTTGAAAAACTGCTTCAATCACCCTGCACGTACGAAAAAAAAAACAAATATTTCGATGCCACCGGTCTCTAGGATAAAGTAAATTGTCACTTCACCACCCTCCCGTTTTCCTTCCCCCTACCCCTCCGGATACTCTCGTCAGTCCCTTACCTCAGTATCACAGGATGCCAGCAGACTCTCGTCATAGTTCCAACAAACGTCGAGGACTGGTGCCGAGTGGCCTAACAGTTTATTCACACAAGGCTTCTCGGCGCGCTCCACATCGAAGAAATAGACCGCCATGTCTTCACTAGCACTTACTATGTACAAAATAAAAAACTATGAAATTGTAGACACAAGTTTAAGTAACAAATAAGCACAGTTCTTTCTCCTTAAAATATCCTTCCGGTAACTAGGACTGATTTTTATGTGACAAAAAAATTCTAAACACAAAAATTGAAGAAATGACTTACAGTCAGTTTGGAGATAAAAACTTAGATCTCGATGGTGGATGGGTTAATGAACAAGCGAGAAGGCCATCAGAATAAAATTTTATCATAATTAGGTATGTTACAATAACGTAAACTTGTGGATTATTGTTTTGGAAACAAAATCCTGATTATAAGATTAATAAATTGCAGCCATTGAATGAGCAAATGTTTAAATCTTTTCTTTAAACTTTTCTTTTTAAAAAGGCCCAACTCAAAATGTACCATCTCTCTTACTCTACTGAACACAAAAAAAATTAAAAGCTGGTGGAATGATCCACGTTATACATACCGACACAAGCGCCTTGTCTGAACGACATCAGGGGACAAAATGAACTTCTTACATGACGAGCCTTGTGTTCGACGGCAAATGACTTTTTTAATTTTAGCCCACCCATATCGTCTACAACTCTGACAAGAAAAAGAACAGAAATAACCTTTCAAATCCAAGAAATTATTAAGGCGTAAGATCTTCTCACAGAGACAGTAACCAGAAAACAGGTGATCGGAATACAGTAGGACCTCCACTGCGGACCACTTCTCTGCAACTGCAAACATTCATACATTCACTCTCTTTTAGCAACTGCTACGAAAAGTCCAAAATATTTGTCTCGTTTCTTTCATTTTTACCCAGAGGCTTAACGTTTATGTGAAGTGCATTTGAATAATGTGTTCACAAATCTCACCCATAGAGGCAAAGTAAATTTATGGCCACATTGACAAGTAGCACAGGGTCCCTAGCCTCACGATTCATCCAGCTGCGATATGAGATTGAAGTCACAGGACTACCCTCTGCTATAGACATTCTGTAAGAAAAACAAAAAGACTTATTACACCGGGGTCATGTTTTGCTTTGTTTTGCTATGTGTTTTTGCAAATTACTGCTCTTACACCTGGTATACAGACAGAAAATGGGGTAGACGTGGGTGAAAATCTCTTTTATAACTTACCGCTTGGCTTTATGAAGTCGCCCAGAGGCCACATCAAAACAGAATGCGTGTATGCTTCCCTAAAATACAAATATATATCAAATAACAAATTCAAATAAGTTGAGACTATTAAGATTAACGGGAATCCAAAGAGCATCTGATTTAAAACACCTCACGACATGCAATCACTTTCTTTATTTGGCAATTATTACATAAAATTTAACAGGGATTCCACTGATTTTTCTTACCCACAATCTGTAAATGGGTTGCAAAACTCGCCCCACCCTCTTTATCCATCAGATGCTACGCCAAAAAAACATGACCTTCTCTTGCATGTAATAAGCTCCCTCCCTCCACTGTACTCAAAGGCTATTGTAATAACTTTTTTGTTGGCTTTACGACACTCTCCTAGTGGTCTACGCTTTCAAGGCTTTCATGGAAGCAGGAGCATGAAAACGAGGCCACCCAGTCATCCAAAAGAAAAAATCAACAAAATGGCGTCTAAATAATGACAGAGTAGTTCATATACCTTTTCATCGCCCACCCACACAAGAATACCAGATGAGTCAAACTCGACAGACTTAACCCCAGCTGAAACTTTAGCACTGCCACCCTAGGAGAAGACATAAATACAACTAACTAGTGATATCACAAACTTTTCATGTTATAAGCAGGGAGCAGGGGAGCAGAGATGGCACAGTGAGCTGTCCTGTGCTGTTCCATGCCACAGTAAAATACTATAATGCTATAATTATAATGTTACTACATATGTTAAATTTTCACAGCTTTATGTCATGATCACGTATCAACTCAGAATTCTTTTCATTTCTAAAGGAAACCATCAGGGTTAACAGATCAAAATCAGATACGTAGAAGCAGAGGAGCACCAAAAACACTTTTTTTTTCTCTAGTAAAAAGACAGTTTTTGAAAGCATGATATGAATAACCATTGTACACCGTACCTTAAAACCTTTGCCAGTGGACATGTTAAAAACACTGAGGTGACCCTTCTGATTTCCAGTCTTTGTTTAAGATTAAGGATTAACAGCATGATACAATTTTTTAGTTACCCTATGAATAAAGGGGATAAGTTTCTTAAGTGCAGTGTTGACTGTTGTGACATCGTAAGGAGAAATTAGATGCTGGTCACTCTCAAGTGTCACTGGTTAAGGCACCTCTAAATAAAACATTAAAGTCATGAGAGAAAAGAAAATGATCACCAACTAAAAATACTCTTTGGTTTTTCAACACTCTTCATTTTAGCACCATGGAAAATGTACAGATGGCAGTAAAGAAAATAAGCAACCTGATGTTAAGAAGAAAGATTTAAGCCCAATAAATACAATCATTAACAAATCAGTACCATTACGCAGTCAGTCTGTCGTGCCCAAGTTGAGCCCTTGGCCATCAGCCAACTTTATTGTAAATTTGTATTACTTTACACTTCCTTTAGATCAATCCATTTAAGAGGATACAAGCAACATGTTGTTATTCACAGGTTGAAATCTGCAAGCTGTCAAACCACAGGAATGACTGTCATTCACCACTCGCAGACACTGCCCAGATGCAGGATTCCACACCCTTGCTGTACCATCCAAAGATGCAGAGAGTATAAAGTCATTGGTAATTGACCAGTCAAAGTCTAATAAAAAGCAAAATTCAATGTCAATGGCTGTTGCTGGAGTCAGAGGTAGTCAGAGGCTGTTGCTGGAGTACAAATGTATCATGCAAAATGTGAATTCCGCTGAGTCAATCATGCATTGGATCTTTGAAGAGAACCTTTGATTTTTGCAAGGGATCAAAATGGAAAGTTTATGAAACATTATGGGGAAATTAAATCAAATTTTGATTTATTTTGTTCAAAACTTTTCCCTGACAGAATGCAGAGTATATAAAACATGCATACTCCTGAGGGGAGAGAGGCACAGTGATCATTTAATTATTTTACATAAGGGCAGAACACAAAGAGCTGCCCAGGCCTTCAAACCCATCCTCTCAACCAGGCCCCAGCTGTTCAAAGGTCAGATATTCACTGGATAAATTTCTATCCAGTCAATAACCCTATATGTTTTGCTATCTCTTATACGCTGGATAGCAACCTATCCATTGAATGGTGTTCATTGGCCCTTCTAACAACTGGGCCCAGAAGTCTAGTATGCTAAGATGAGGCAAATACATATGATCAATGCACTGACATGGTTTGAGTGACAGTTATTCACTGTGACTGTAAGTATAAACCAAAATACTTGAACTTTCCTCACAGTTCAAGCTACTTGTACTGCCAGGGTTGATTTCTCAATTTGTCAGCCATACAAGCTCATTGTCCAGTTAACAATTGATTATTAGCTTTTCACTTAGCTTTTACTTACCTGTTACGGCTGCTGTGTGTCCTCTCAGTGTACAAGTAACTGATGGAGGGGATGGAACAAGAACACAGACAGACAGTGTCCCATCAGCAGAACTACACCCCAAGCGAAACTTGTCATCATTGGCAAATTTGATTGCTGTGACTAAAAATAAACAAATGTATTTTATTCAAAAATAACTTAAAAACAACTTTCTCAGTAAAGATTGAGATATTGGTTGGTTTGTATTCCTAGAGATTGGAATAAATCAGTTGTCAGAGGTTTGGAAGCATCACTTTTTTTAAATTAAAGACACAAGCCTAGGTTGCACAGAAAAGTGCCTTATAGGAGACACAACATGGCAAAGGCATGATTCACAGCCACACATTGTTTGAATTTGAACCATGAAGTGGCTGTGACCCGACTACAATACAAGACTTCAAACTGTCTGTCAGAATTAATTGCATTAATCTGAGGGAAAGGTTGAAAAGGTTGAAAAATAAAAATAACCACCAACCACAAAACTTACATTCATATTCATGTGAGCAAAATTATTTGTGCTCCTTAGGTAAAGAAATTTCAGCAAAATATAAGCTCCTGTTATAAAGAAATTCCAAGGCTGTAGAAATTTAAGAAAGCATTTTAGGGACATTCTTACCACTTTCTGCATGCTGATCAAAGATGTGATACATCCCAGCAAAGGCATAATTCTCACCCAAACTAGTGTTCCCTGCCATCCGCCTAGAAGATCAAAGTCAAAATACAAGTTCAAAGACATACTTGAGGACATACATCTATTAGGGACAAAGAAAACTAACAAAATTGAAAAGCGGGTTTAGAAAAACGTACCTGCTGGCTTCCGCCTTACGAGTGGGTACCACACCCCTTGGAGGTGATTCTGGAATATCAGCTTGAGGTAAGAATTTAAAGGAGCCTGAACTGTGGTAACGACGATGTGAAGGCTTGCCAGGAGAATGTCCCCCTTCAGATGGATCAATGTGCAAGGAATCAAAACTTGTCTGGAAGAGTATCAATCAAAAGAAACACTTCATTTAAACTCATACACAATAATAATTTCACTTATTCAGTGACACCTGCATTACACATGCACCAAAGGACAATTAATGCTTAAACATGGTACCCAATTAAAACAAAGCTTCTGACTAACAAATCACAAAAAACGTATTCACTGTTTAAAACCTTTCTACTTCTTTAATATATACCTTTAGAAGGACAAGCCTATGAATAAATTTGCACAGACTGATTTGACAATCAAAGAACATCTATGGATTCGATCTGGGAATCTGTAATTTCTATTAACAGAATCAAGTTTTTGTGCACAGTTATAGAGTTGCACAGAAATGAGCAGAATTCAGCACAAACTTGTCTTCAACTGACAAGTCTGGTCATCAAACAAACCTCAAAGGAACTCAATTTGCTGTATGTGCTTGCACTTCTGCTCCTACAAAAAGAAAAAAAAGTGAGGTTACTTTAGGGTATAATGATGCAAAAGCTGATCAAAGAGTTTCAGAAAGTTATTCCCAAATAAACTAATATTCAATTTTAACTGTCAAATTAATATAAATTGATACTTTGGTAACCTTGGAAACTGTCAAGGAAAAGTTCTAACCTTGAAAGCGATGACTCAGATGGACCATATCTTTTAGACAACAGTTGTCTTCTCAGGGAAAGATACTGCCTGCGGCATGAATGATCCAATTTCTGCACAGTAACCATAACAATAACGTTGCTTTACATTATTATCATATCAAAGAAATAAAGAAAACTGAAAATGTGCATTGAACATTCTCAAGTGCTTTAAAACAGTAAGGAGAGGAGGAAGTGGGCAGGAATTAGACCCTAGTGTATTGGTTGCACATCAGAGGGCTGGGAAGGGAAAATATACTCTATATGGAGAGGGTGTGGGGGGGGGGTGGGGCAGGGACATTTTGTATGATAACAATAGTGGTCATAAGTTCAAATCCTGTACAGACCTGAATTTTTTTTCACTTTTGCTTTTTATTTCATTTTTGCTTTTTATTTCACTTCATACTGTCAAGATTGCTCTCATATTTATTTCTTGATACACAGTTCACATATATGATTCTCATATATAGTCACAGTCATTTGTTAATCCCTTCACAAGTTTATTAAAAAACCAACAAAGTGACCAGCTCCCAGTTTGCTCTTTAGCTCAGTTGGTAGAACACTGCAGCAGTACTGTAGAGGTCATAGGTTCAAATCCTATACTCATCTTAAATTTTCTCAGGCCTTATTTTTTTTCTTAAATACATAGGTAGTGTTCATTACTGCGAACTGATTGCTTCCATATTCATGTTCATTAATGGTGAAATGCCTAGTCAAAGAAAAGGAATCTACGGCTGCTAACAAGAGCTAACAGGCACCAGGTTAAGCGATTCCAGTCACGGGAATGACATTGGTACTCTCTAGAAAAGTGTCAGCTCATAGGAAGTGGTCGCTTTTAAAGGCCACTTTATTATTTTTATCTCATGTTTCTCTGCATTTGCCGTTCCCTCTTGCCAACAATAAGTTTAAAAAAACCTACATAAACTTATGTCCTTTACCTCTCTTTTGGCGTTTTCCCGTAGTAGCTGATTTCTTCTTCTTATGTACAAAGTACCTACAACAAATGGGCATCAATCAGCTGTTTAGGACAACAGTTCTAATATCTGACGTCCAACTTTTCAGCAAACAATTACAACAGTCAAACAACACGTATACTTAACGCCTTGTTACAGATAAATGATACTCACGGTATGAAGGGTTGTTTGGAACCCGATACGCATTGTATCGAGCATCCAATGCGAGAATTTGTTGAGATATGTTCATTTTGCGATCTATGACAGGTCCGCCATAGCAGTTTTTTTCCGCAACTACTACATCATGTAAGACTACACAAAACCTTTGTTCGTACCAGTCCCGCCAGGGCGCGTTATGCATTTCAAGATGGCCGCCGCAGAGGAACTGTTCACATCAGATGTGCATCTTTTTACACCATTTTTCCAAGAAGAGGAAAACAGTATAGGTAGGGCTTGAATATGTAATCAGGAATTGACTCTTCCTTCGAGTTTTTTTCTAAATGATTAATCAATTGTATAAGCTGACAAGAAGGATAAAGTCTTGGGGGTATAAGGGATATGCTCATCATGGAAACAACCAACCACTAGCACTCCATTCAGTAATGATAATAGCTTCGTGGTAAAAGAAAAAATGCGATTGAGAAAACTTTTGATGCAGAGAAAGGGATGAAAGAGAGGATGGGAAATCTCACAATATTTGCTTTCGGGTCTTTGTCTGTTTCTACCCGTCGCGATGCACTATGATGATTGAACCTAAACCTATGGTCATTGAACCTAAATTTGGCCCTTGTGACTTTTTTCACAAATTGGAATTGGGAGAATGTACGGTAGAAGGGAGCAGTAGATGGGACTGGATAGGGTGGGAAAGCAGGAACTTTTTGGGACTAAAAATCTGCCAGGTGCTCACGATAAAGAGCCAAATACAGAAGACAAGGGTTTGGGAATCAGGGGATCCTACCCACATGAGCTCCTGTATCTGGTATTCAGGGGAAGGGAGTAATCAAACACAGGTATTAAGATGCAAAATAATATTATTTGTGATACCCAGCTTAATTCTCAAACAACTCCTTTGATAGTATTTACCAGGTTTACAATATACAGATCCCCTGAGAATACCTCTGCCAATGAGATGGAAGGGAGAAGTCATCACATGGGATTTCATGAAACTGATGAAGATGAAGATGGAGATTTGTCACCTCCAAGAAAGTTCTCTGCCAGAGATGACTGTGAAGTTATTACAATAGGTAGAAAGTTAATCTAAAATTGTACATGAAGTTATGTTTTGTTTACCTTTTTTAACCAGTTTTACTTTGTCTCAAATTGTAATCTTTTATTATCCCAGTTAAGGGACAACAAAATTATAATAAAACTGGTAAGAAAATGATGAAAAATGAACCACAACACCCTTATGTACAATGTCATTGTGTCAATTTTGAACTCAAAATTGCTTTTTCTCCACCCAAAAATATTTACATCTATCAGTTTGCTTTTTTCCAAATTCAGTTCCTACACAGGAGTAGGTATCATGCCACAATAAATCAGTTTATTTTTACACTACACTACCATTACATCCACATATAAAATTGAAATTATGATATTACAGTTCATTATAAGCTGATTAAAGTTTTTTTCTCTCTCTCTTCCCTATTTTACTTGAACACCAGAACATCATCTTTCCACTGGGATTGAAGATGTAGGGCTGCAGGTACTGTTCTTAGAATTTCTGTGATATACCCATAATGTAACACCCTAAGGCCAAACTCTACATATGTTTGAATACATTTACAGAAAAGCAAGAATGAATACATATAGTTCAGACATTTTTGATTCAGGTCTTGTACCCAGATTTTGATATGTACCCCATAAAAAATCTCAAAGGTGAAGTGATGATAGTTGAATCAGAGGAGATAGAGATACACTCCAATTATCCTTAAATCTCTCAAATTTAACAATGAATAAGACATTAAAAAGAGATGTTTTCATCTTGTCACAAGCGTGGGACAAAGATAAAATTCTGAGTCCCCTTGAGGAATCAAACCTCAGACCCTTCAGATTTTGTGCTCCAATGCCCTACCACTGAGCCACAGAGACTCCATGGTGAGCGAGGTCTATTACGAAGTTCATATGACATGTGTCCTGCATACTGCTAGGAATTCAGCAATGTCGATAGGGTAATGTTTGTAGATAGAAATAAGAGAGAAGGTAAATTTTGAGCTCAGTAAAGAAATAAACATAAATAAAAGACATTGTTTTTATGTTGGTTGTCTTAAAATTGCTTGAAGATTTGTGTTTTTTTTTTCTTTTTTTCTTTCCTTAATTTTGTATCATTATTATTTTGATTCATGTATTCTATTTTTTTTTTTTTTTTTTTTTTTTTTTTTTTTTTAAGAAAGTTTTAGCTAGCATGAATTATTTCTCTTTTATGTTCATGGTTGCTGCTAGGTTTGGAGAGGGGCCCTCCTATTAAGTGATTTCTTGATTTGCAATGAAGAAAGGTGAGTTGTCTTCTTATAGCACTTGTATATTATATATTAAGTACTATTTTGTAGGGCCAAAACAGTAACAGAAAGAATCAAAAGAAAGTATTTGAGGAATGTTCAATAAATTTGTTTATTACATCATAGTGTTTACTATAACATGTGTCTGATGTATTGCTTTTTCTGTCTTTTGATTGGTGTTGTGAATAGAAGCATAATTACCAAATATAAATTGACTTATACACAGGATTGACTCAGAGTCTGGTAAATACAGTATATGTTCTTCCAATCAGATTTGATGGATGTTTTGGCTTGGAGCTTGGAGCAGGTCTTGGTTTATGTAGCATCATATTGGGAAGAGTGGCAAAGAGACTGTTCTGTACAGGTATAGAGTTGTTGATGTTGCATAATTGAAGTAGCAAGTAAAGTCAACAAAAATAAGTATGTTTATATATATTCAGGTGTACTCTCATCAAGGTATAAAGCATAGGCTGAATCTGTTTTAAGAGCAACTTAATTGTCTTCTTGGGGGTCCTTCAAACTTCCCTATTGCCTTGAAGACCAATGAACACAGCTGACACTACTTAAAACATTTTCAACACAAGTCTAATTTTTATGGAATTTTGTAATATTTAGATGTTGGAGACACCATTCTCAGCAACTGCAATGCCAACATAGCAGCTAACTCTCATCTTTTTAGATATGGTGAGTAAGAGAATGATGTAAAGTGATTGAACTCAAGATAGTCATACCTTATTGGATTTTTGCTTTGATGATTACAGTCTTTTTGCAGTGTCTATGAGATATGAAACTTCTGTTTCGGCCATGTTTTCCATATTTGAGAACATGATAATGAGGCATGCACGGGATGTCATATTTCCTAAATTTTTGACAGAGTTTTTTCAACTTGCCTTACACACCATTGTTGTTGAGATGATTGTAACTTTGGTTGGTATTAGAAGGAAACTTTATTCCTCAGCTATCAATTCCTCAAATTCTTCTCATTCATGCCAAGAAAGAAAGCTAAGTAGGCTGACATTTAAATTTTGAATTGTTTGATGCATTAGCCCATCAACAGACCTCTGTCAAAGAGCTCATGCTCAAAACATCACCTATACAAACTCTTTATGGTGGTCAATTTACTTTATCAGCTCAGAGGATAAAACCAAAATTTTTTTTCATCTTTTTTTTCATCTTAGGCAGTGAAGCTGTTACAGTTCATGAAATGGACTGGCAGAAAAAAGGATTACCCTCTGGTAAGGAGATGAACTTAGTTATAGTTGTAATTCTTAATAGAGTGGCAAAAATACAGCAAATTAGGATTGCATTGGTTTTCTTTTTTCATCTATTTCTTATACAATTATATACATATTTTTGCTAAGTCTCAGTTCACCTAGGACCCAGACTGTTTTGCAACAGGTTTTGGCTTTCTGTTTCCTTTGCACCATAAATAAAACATTTGTCATCTTGCTCAAGACATCAAGCAATTGGAAAATTGTTTCTCTGCCCAACTTTCCTATGTTAAAAAAACCCATTATCATGACCACCCATCTTCTTCTTCTTCAAGGGGGAGACTGAAAACATGGTAGAATTGGGTGTGATTATTCAATAGTATTTTTTGCACTCCATCATCATTTTTGTTGTTATGTTACAGAGAATGGTTCTTTCTGTTGGACAATAGAAGATCAAGAGCTGTTTAAAGCTATCACAGTTGTATTGGCTGCAGATGGTTAGTGTCAGAAGTGGTCTTTCATTACTCAGGGGTAGTAATTAATATTCATTCCTTCTCCATCTGGATCTCACTGGCAGGGAAAGAAGTTCGTTTGATTTTCCAATTTCTTACTTTAAATTTCCTTTATTTATTCTTAGTGATTTATGATGATTCCTTAACTGATGCTTTCATTGAAACAGTCTTGCATCTTTTTGAGCAAAAGACAGACATAGTCCTTTACTTGACAGTGGAGAAACGGTGAGTTGGACAAACTGAATAAGAAATAGAAGATGAAATAAGCTTTGTTTCATTAGTTACCTCCCTGAGTTTGCATAATTTTTCACTTCCTCTGAGAACTATGACACCTCAACTCTACCTATATTTTCAGATTGAATTTTACCCTGAAGGATCTTGCTGTAACCTGTCCAGCATACTCCCATTTTACTGAGAGAATAGATGAACTGGAAAGTAAACAAAAAAGACTAACAGCAAGGAAACTCTCCACTGATTTTCCTAAGTACCTACAGTATGACAGAGTAAAGGAGCTGGTAAGTGTTGAAGTGATTTTGTTTGTGTATTAGTTTGTTGTTTTTTATTTTGTTTTGTTTTGTTTTGTTTTTTTGCTGTTATGTTGTTTGAGTGCCTTCTAAATAAAAAATGAGAATGAAAAAACCTTTTTCCTCTCTCTTTTATCCTTTATCTGAACTCCCTTCATTCTGTTTTCTTTTTTTAATTATTATTATTATTATTATTATTATTATTATCAGTTCAGTTAGTTTTTACCTTTTTTTCTTTGAATTGATTTAATTGGATTTGGTTCTTTTCTTCTTTTCTGTCTCATTCCTTTTCTTTACCTCTTTACTTCTTAATTTGATACAATCTATGAGCTCTGCAATACCACATGAGGGCTGACTTGCAGTCTTGATCATTGAATGCTTTCCTGATATTAAATATTTTTTCCTTGCAATTGATCATCTTTGAATTCTTATAGGAACTGTGGGAAATTAAACCAACTTAACCTGATGTTGACATGGAAAACTTTAAACACCCGCCAACTGAATGAAGGTGTCAGAGCTTTGAACTGGTTAAATTTATCAGGTTCCATCAACCTTCTCACACGGTACTATTTACAATTATGGAAGTAAAGGGAAATCCTTAATTTTTCAATGACTCAAATTGAGTTCAATTCATGTTCTTAAGTCTTTTGTACATTTTGCTTTACTTTGACTCAAAATCATTAAACAATAGGTTAAGATGCTGAAACTCAAACTCTGAGGCAGTCTAGTGTATTCAATTGTGTATGTAAGTTTTGGCATAAGCAAAACTGAGTAAAGATATTTACTTGTGTAGCTGTGTTTTCAATTCAAATATGAAAATTTTCTTTTTCTCAATCTTTTAGGGTTCCAATGGCCTTGTGTCTTTGAGGAATTTTAAGAGGCAATGGACAAACACGAGTTGGAAACTTCCTCACTGTTCACACAAGAGATGGTGTACGGCAGGTGTTACTACTTTTTATGGACAAGCTTCCTTTATATAAACTGCCAGAGAACTGGTATCATTTAGAGTGGGACAAGGACAAGGAGATCTACAAACTTGTGTGACGCTCTGACCAGCAGGAACTGCACATTGATCGGCTTAAATGTCAAAGGTAATGGATCAGGAGATGGAGGAATAGAAGACTTGTCTGAGGCTTTAACCGACAATATCATTCTGTAAATTAACGAGCTTTAACTAAGTCCAACTGCAAGCTAAGGAGCCTAGACTTCTCCTAACTCTTTGACCCCTAAGAGTGACTAGCATCTAATTTCTCCTTACAGTATCACCCCTACATCAAACACTAAGGTCATGAGAATAATGGAAATGATCAACAAGCTAAGTACAGAAGCTCTTGATTGTTGAGCAAAATCTCCTTGTCAGTACCATAGAAAATGTATAGAAAATAGTATAGAGAATATGCACACTGATCTTAGGGTGTAAAAGGTTAAAATAAAATAACAGTTATGGCAAACAGTAATTTGGCTAAGTACTAAGTGGTACTGATTGTAAAGTTAAGCAGACATAATACTTTCTTTTTCCATGACAAGTTAGAAGTATCAAGCTCGGATAGGCTCCCCCTGTTATATATAATAAATTCCATTCTTATGAAGGATAGTTAATTTTTTGATAAAGGATAGTACATTATTTTTTATAAATGACTGTTTAGTCGTGTACCTCACATTATAGACTTGCCACCTGTTGTTGATCAAATGGAGTATTATACGTGACTCTTAGCGTGAGAGACAAACGTCGCCATCAACAACTGATGACCGACTCTGAATTGTTAGACAAACGATTATCAAACTTCCATTTTTATTTTGGCTCATGTAAAGCTTATTTCAGCTAATGGATTACAAATGCAATAGCAAAGTAAGTATTTCTGGAAGCTTACATGTGATTCCGAATAACGGATCTGTGGGCAATCCTTTTATAAGTTTTAATAAACGCTCGCACTTTAATCTTGCCTTTATTGACAAATGCTTTCAAACATTTGTTAGAAATGTCAGGAAAAAATCTGTAGGCAATCAGTTAGACTAATTATACCACCAAATTAGCTGAGAGAGTGAATAATACCGTGAGGTGATATGCATGCCGGTATCGAAAAAGCATCCACCAGCTCATGATTTCGTGTTTTGTTATCACCCGCTTTAGACTGCAGGTTGACTCAGTGGCACTTAAAAGAGAGGAGAGAAAGAAAGAAAGAAGAAAAAACAGCAACGATCCTAGCAAATAAATTAATTCCATTTCTTCATGAACTTCAACACTATAGCTGTATTGCCACGTAGCTTCTAGTCCATACAATCAGGAACAATTGGGGGTCGTCTTCTGAGGTTATCAAGCTCTCTCAACAGATTCACTCTGCTCACTGCCCCTGCTGCTTCTCTCTGCAATCCTGACTGCCTGGATATATCCAAGGCTTGCTCTGCAGCCCTTAAACCTGTGGTCAAATATTTCGATTCGTGTTTAGAATTGCAATCGATCGTGATATACCATCAATGATAAGCCGATCAATCAACAAGCAGCTAAACGTCGATTGAAGCAACTAAGTCATTTCTAACTTATAACCTATAGAATAGTCTTAATTGACATGACACAAAGGGTTCACACGAAAGTAGTAATTTTCTAGTTAGTTGTCTTTAATGAAGATAATCGCGGAGTCGTTCTCACCGTCGTCAATATCTCTTGACCTGATATAGTGATCTGCCTTGCCAAGGTAAAACGTACTCTTCATCCATTTGGAGCATTGAGGAAGGAGGACATCAAAACTCCTGATTACCTCGCCAGCACGTCTCAGGTTGTCTTGGGATACGGTGACGTCAAGGTTTGGTGCTGTATTTGGAGAGGACTTGAGGTACAGGCCAATCAATCGATTGTACACTCGAGGAAGCATGCGAGCTGTTGTGTTTAGGTTTTGATGATTCCAGTGCGTGGCTGCCATCTGGAGGAAACTCTCTGCCTCTCTTTCCTCGTCATTGCTTACTCCCACGGTGGCAGATCTCTCCATGGCTATTGCACCAATATTGTAGAGTGTTATTGATGTGTAGGAAGATGGTTCCATTGGTTCAAATATCTGTGGGTGGTTTAAAAGTTTCAAGCCGCTTAGCTTACAGTAGTACATTGAGATGGTCAATGGAGGAGGAACAAATAAATTAAAATAAATGGTTGTCAACATTTAAGTCAGCCACTTCCCCTTGTGTAACCGAATGAGAAGAAACTTGAGCCGAACGAGTTAAACTGAACTCTTTTTGCTACGTTTTCTTTATCTCACCTTGATAGCAATCAATACCAAAAGTATGTTAAACAGAGAGAAAGAGTGGAAGTTCATCTTTCCTTGTTTTAGGATAGTCAACTATCTCAAAGCTTTTTACCAAAATAGCCAAAAGTCAGGGAGAAAATCCACATACAAGTGTTCTCACCTCCAAAGCATCTTGGAGATATTTTTTGGCACCGTCTTGATTACCAGAAAATCGTTCCGCAGCAGCATACACAGCAGATGCATAACCGCGGATAGTGCGGTCGTTCACACAGTTGTGGAATGAGGACAAACGGCAGGCTTTTCTCGCGAGATTAACTCCTTCTTCGAGCCTATTTCGGATAAGGCACGCCACACCTTCCTAGCAAAAATGAGAAAGTACATTCCATACAAATTTCAGATGTAGAGAGTTTTCTGTTCCTTTGATCCTTCTCGCAGATTAAGATTGAGACTGTGAAATGATACCATTACTGAGGCTGCAAAGGCATTAATCATGAATTAAGCTTGTGCTGTGTACAGATTTAGTCGTGGGATAATCACAGTTAACCCCTTCCCCCCTTCCGATGATTAGATTAATTTGAAAGTGGTTTAATTGGCGTAGTACCTCGTTCAGAACCATTGCAACCAGATCTTGATATTGGGGTCTTGTCTTGGCCCACCTTTCCAAGCTCTTTCTGTGTTGTCTGTACAATGAATATTGCCCTGAATATAAAATAAACGGATAGATAAATGTATGAATATATAATAGGTAAATAAGGAGTAAACGTTCTCATTGCACTGGTATAATCCCCTCTTGTTTATGACCACACACAACGTCCTTGAGCTAATCATCTTGATCTACTCTAGTGGACTGTGTAACATTGTATCGTAAAGACCCGTAAGAGTCTTTTTGCGCCTTTAAACTCACTTAAATCACACTGGTTAATGGTAAATTACAGCTAGCTCTTTGCTTCATAGTTTTTGTCTTCTTCCTGTGAGACAGTTGTGGCTAATTACATTTCTTGTCGCGCTTGTCAAGACAGTTTCAAATGCCAGTAACAGGCAGTTAAAGGAGGGATGATCATGCTACCCTCCTTGGACGTTCATTTTTACTAGGAAAAGATATTTCTGAACAATTAATAATCAACGAAGGAGAACATTATGGAAAAAAGTGAGAACAATTTAAAACAAAGCTGGACTCAATAGGACATTCAATCAGGAACTTAATTTTGATTGTAGGACGATGCCTTACTTTAGAGAAAGCCCATTACAACTATCTAGCTTACCATTATCTGACAGTTTCTCAAAGTGCATTATGATATCCCATGCAAAAGGTCGCGTCAGTACTCCTATTGATTGAGTAAATCAATAAATACTGAAATAAATAGATGAATATAGGAGTAAATGGATATATGGATAAATCTTAGCTTCTTTAAATTTGTAACTTGTCTTGTTAAAGTTCTTTCTGAAGAATATATTTGTTTATCGATCTTAGTATCCGTCTTTTTCTTTTGTTCAAACGTTGACTAGTAAATAATAATAATAATCATAATAATAAACAGGAAGAGAAATCACTTTCTTATATAGTTTCAGTGAAACACTGACCTGCAAGTTTAAGTTTTGGAAGCGGGTAATCAATGTAAAAAATATTCCCTTTTTCGTGAAAATGAACTTGGTTTCCATTAGGGAGATTTGTTGCTACAGTGAATATAATCTCGTCGCATACAACTTCTCTGCCTTCCAGCTCTTTGGTAAGCTGTAGGGTAGCATTGTAAATATTGGGACCACCAGCAGGAAGCAAGACAGTGAGTAGGCGAGCATGAGGGGGAAGCTGTCTCCCTTCACTGTCCAACGAGGAATTACTTATAACAACACCTCTGTTCGGATATGCTTGCAATATCATCTTGTAAGCACCATTATTCTGGAAAGAAAAGCAGAGGAAACGTTTGAATCCAACACTTAAAGAAGTGTATCATAAACCCTTAAATTCCGCATTATCGTTATTTTCTGGTCAAAAGGGAAGAAAGTGAAGGAATGAAGGATACTCTCGACGAAGTATTCTTGTCTCGGTGCAAAACTATTTCTTCAGAATTTAATTAAGAGGCGATTTGTTGTGCCAACTGATTAAAGAGAATTTGCTGTCAGGTCTTTGAAACAAAAAAGCAAAGCATGGATGATAAAAAGACCTCTTTATTACAGACGATACAAATTGGATCCTTTCTTAGAGAAATTATTTCTCCGTTTTAAATTTTACCATTTTGAAAATATTACACTCAGACACCAGTCTCAGACACCAGCCTCGCACCAGCTGGGAACGGTGGGTCGTTACTATATTACTATAATGATTTCCAGGTTACGTGTAACTAGTGTAAGATTGCACCGATCACCGATGACCTATCACAGGCTAGATTCAGACAGCACTGAACTTAAGAAATGCATGTATATTATGTAAGTATAAACTTTTAGAGTGCTCAAGCTTGATATGTTTACAGCACCGGCAAATGGAAGAAATGAACTCTGATCTTCCTCGCTTATTATAATCTTTACGTTAACGCTATAGTTAAATTATTTAAACAGTGGATGACGGGTGGCAAGAAATAATTTTTTTTTAATTGCCGCAATTGCCATCTGCCATAACCTCGCTAATCACTCACCACAACAAGCTCGTTTGGACGTGAAGGTGTTAAATCACTGATCCATATTTCTTGACTTTCTTTTGACATCAGTGCAATTAGAAAAGATAAATTAATCAATGTCGACTGCTGGTCACCTCTGTACCGCTGCCATGGGGTAGCTGTGATTTGTTCATTGTCGTGTGGATAACAGATGTGATGTAACAGACACAAAGCAATGTCCTCCTGAGTGGTCATTCTGTCCGTTGTAGCTACGTTTCCTATAAGATATGCGTATAATTACCTGGTGATATACGTGAAAAAACAAACAAACAAACAAAAAACACCAGCAACAAAACGAAATGAAAATTAGGTACCCATCAAGAGAGACACGTGATTTATCAACACATGAGCCTCGAACAAAGTAATGGAGTGAATTATTGTTTTATAAATTCTCAAGCTCTTAGGAATATGAGTTTTTGCCGATTAGATACTAACCGAGGAATCGAATCATGGTCAAAATAGTCATTCTATTGCTTCAAATTTGTTTTTTCCCAGTGAAATTTATAAATGTTGCCTCACCTGTAATCATTTTCTGAAAAGGAAATTCAATAAATATAATAATTACTATGGAAAAACGTTAATTTAGTGGAAATAATTACTATCCCTCCAGATGTGTTACTGCTGACTTCATGAAGTTCATTTTATATTTAATGTTTGTTTTCAATGAAAGATCCTTGTGCTCCATAGGGCAACAGAATGCTCTTTTCGGCTTTTAATTGAACGGGAGGACAATTTTCACAAATTGCAAACATTTTGAGAGATTTCATGGAAGCAAATTGAAGAAAATCAAAGGCGAAGCCAAATTATCGCTGGCGCCGACCTTCGTGGAGCCTTAGCTTAATAGCGAAATTATTTTGATGATCATAACGATAGACGCCTTTTGACTATAAAGCATGGATACGTAATTTTTTGCCCAGTGATCAAAAAAATAAAGCATGGTACTTGAAAAAATCATGGTTATAGGTCTCACGTACATATCTTTGGCATTGTTCTGTTTTTGTTAAAGTTTTTATTCCTGAAGATATCAACTAATTTTATATATAGCTACTCTAAGATTCGAGAGGAAAGAAAGGTTATTTACGCATGAACGTATAATGTAAGGTTTGTTTACCACTTTGAGCGTGGCATCCGTTACTGAATATGGTGCTTCGTGTCGTTATTTCACTTTTACATGCTTCAAAGCTGAGAATTTGACCTTACCCAAGGAGGTACTATTGTTTGTAATACTAAAAAAGACGTACAGCGACAGCGATACACGAGAAGCCGTTCCCGTGAAACCGAAGTCGGCACAACTCAATGCTAGCATATTGGTAGATTATTGTTTCATCTTTACACATACCTACAGCATTCATCAAGCGTGGTAAGACTCGATTATTCCTCAAGGCCATGCGTTATCTGTGATGAGAGGAGGGCCTCTACAGAAAAGCTTCCAGACAAAACTGTCAAGCAAACAATGAAGTGATATTTTTTTTCTCTGAAGAAACTGAGAACAAACTCCCGTCAATTAACTGACCTACCGATCATGTGATGGGTCTATTAATGACAACTGTATTTGTTACTTGGTGGATAACGAGTGGCATGTTAACTTCATAAAATTATTCTCAGAAGTAGTCTAAAAATGCAAGCACGTACTGTGGTTTTAGAATCCAAAGAGCGACTAAACTGATCGGAAAGAAATGTGCTCGATTGCTTGGCACATATTCAAGTTGTATTTTTGTGAATAATTATATGTGCGAGGCAGCCCCAGTTTGAACCGGAACTGTCGTACTATGTTAGAACAAGTTTTATATTTTTGTGTTACTTAATAAAGGAATATAGGTATCTGATCCGACTAATAATACTACGAAATATTTCTGGTAAATGCTGTTTTCATTTAGTCACATCACAATCATTGCCTTTAGTCTTGGACTGTCACTTCGAAAGACGTTTTATAGTTAACCAAAACACGCAAGTATTGCATCTGAAATGTCGTTTGTTTACATACAAAGTAATGCTGAGCTGTTTTTAAACGTGAATAAACTTAGAATCTAGAGAATGAACTGCGATTAAAAAGCTGTTTCGCCTACCAAGATCACCTACATCATTTCACCGACCAATCACTTCGAAAGACGTTTTGTAGTTAACCAAAACACTCAAGTATTGCATCAGAAATGCCGTTTGTTTACATACAAAGCAATGCTGAGCTGTTTTTAAACGTGAATAACCTTAGAATCTAGAGAATGAACTGCGATTAAAAAGCTGTTTCACCTACCAAGAGCGTTGACTAAGTTTGCCGCGCGATTCTACTCCCATTGTCACGGTTTGTGTTTGAAACTACCGAGCACACAGGAAGTCGTTGGAAGACTGATGTAAGGTGCACTTCGAAAGTGAAAGTGGAAATCTATTTTTTGTCGTTACGTCGTCGCTCTCTCTCTCGTTCTTTCTTACAACTTAACCTTGTGAACAAAGAGCACAATGATGTATAGATTGAGCTTGGAAACTGCGTCTGTAGTTTGCGCCCACAGTACACGGCAAATGAAAAGAGAAACTAAAGGAAAATTAAACGGAGGTGGAAATAGCTTCGACACGCGGTGCGCTTATTGTCTATATAATTTCGGCCGTCTGCTTGTATAGTGTATATTTAAAACAACTATTTTTATAACTAAGCTTGACTCAGTGATGTAGTATTAATGTAGTGTATTTTCTCTCCAATACTCGTCATCAACAACGTGATTTTACAAAAAGATTGAGTTCTTTGAACGGCCGTTAAGTGGTAACAACATGTAATTACGCTATGTCTAAGATACCCATGTTTTAATTTTACTTTGCCGCTTCTTTAACCCTCCAAGTGTTCCTGTCAAAGATCTCTTTCGTCTGAAATTCTAGTTTTCCTCTCTTGTGCCCAATTTCTTTTTTTTCTGATACAATTTTAATGAATAATAGGAGAGAAGTCACAGTTATAAATATCTTCGAATCTAGGTTTCGATTATTCTTAAATTGTGAAAAAAAGTGCCAGTATTAATTGATAGATTGAGCAGCCGGCAATCAGCCAGATGTTTATTCACAGCGCAAGTTAGTCTCAAGTTCACTCCAAATCTTCTTCCTTAAGTCACTCATGCCTTGGCACGAGAGTACTTGGAACTGACAAATAAATGCAATTCACGGAAAATACTATTGAGAAAAAGTAAATATACAAACCTCTTTTCATTGTTTTGATTTCATTTTCGTTTTGAAAAGGAAATTGAATAGAAAGATTTAATGGAAGTTAAAAAAAAATTGGGGGTGACTTCAAATTGTTTGGCTAAGGAAGGGAAGACAGCTTGGAGTTGAATAAGCGGGATTTCCGAGTATTAATGACGCTTCAGAATTTGTTTGAGAAATATAGAGCCATTGCACATAAGTTTTTCACAAAGGAAGGGGATAGTAGCTTTTGATTTGAGAGTGCACTATGTTTTAACCTACAGGTAACATTCTCAAGTACATGTAAAATTTTACGACAATGATCCAAACATCTAATTGCATTTTAATAAATATCAAATGACATGTAAGGTACAAAGAGATAAAGGCTAAAATTGTGATATTTTGTTACTCCCTTCCTTGTACTGCAACCCTTGCAATTTAAACACATAGTCACGAGAATATATTGCTTTTTATTGTAATCATTCACTGAGCATCTTCAAATAACACTTGTTTACATTTAAATAAGTAAATGATCAAGGGCACTGAAGTGTGACTCACAAAGAATAACAATTTATCAAAACAACTTTCCTAGTTTTGAATCATTTTTGTTCATTTTCTTTTGTTGGAAACCAGAACACATTACCTTGTAGCAAAACCTAGTTTTAAAAAAAGCTGAACCTGCAACAGCACTGCACAACATATTTAACTACTGCATTTCTTATTGCACCTAATCATTATCACACTGTTAATAATGACTTAATATATTTTTGGTTTAAAACTTCAATGAACAAAGCATGCAAAAGCAATTGAAAAAGTTTCTTTATTTTTTTCAAGAAATAGCTTACTTCTTTATGCCCATCTCTCCATGAAAACCCAAAGAAAAACTAAGTAAAGTAAAATTATAATGTACAATGAAAGTTTTTCAAATATTTCAGCAAATAAGACAAAAAAAAAGTATTAAATTTAGAAACCTTTCACCCTCTAATACATTGCAGCAAACTAATTCTCAAAACTTCATCTTCTGCTTGAACCAACTGGTTCCTTGCAGTGATACTGTATTTCATGGTTTATTCAATGCCATGAAACTCACAAATGAAATGACCATTTTAAAAATACCTTACACAATACCACAGCTCATAACTCATGTTTCTAACCCTTAATTCATTTCACAACTGAGAACAAAGAAAAACAACAACAACAACAATAGAGGTGCAAAGAAGCTTATATATTGAACAAGTGATTTGGCCAGTTTTCAGAAATGCAAAAAACAAACAACTTGAATACCCATTTCTCCTATCGGAGTCTTTGAGAGTGAACAATCTCACAGATTTATAGAGATCTTATAACATTTCTTGGTTTCATTTGGGCCAATCACTGAACATTTTGTTTGTTACACAGTGACCTACAATATAAAATGGTTTGACATTTCCATTAGCTTGTTATCATATGTTAAAACTACTATAAAGATGAAAAACTATTGATTTCTTTCAATTAGTTTGAAGATGGTTACTGACCCTTGTCAATAGAATTCAATCCCTCTTGACTCAAGTTCACAGTCTCACATTCAGGAAGTTTTGGGTATTATTTACATTAACTGGTGCAAAAATAGTTTTATTTATTTCAAAGCATCATAACTCTAATCTATCAAAGTTCAGTGGCGCCTGCGCCAAGATTCTACTGAGCCAGGATCCCACATCAACTTGCTTTTCCTCATACCTTAGGATAAAGGGATGCTTGAGCAATTCTCTGTACTTTGGTCTTCTAGTAACATCTTTGGTAAGGCTAGGAAAACAAAAGACACACAGAAACAATCATTACATTAGAACTAAGATCAGTTATGGTCATGCCTCTGAAATTATTACAGACCTTGCCCTACAATTTTTCACAAACTGTCTTAGTTTCCTATTGCTTGTTTACAGCCAAGATGATAGGAATTCAAATTGAAAATTAAAAACAGAAACACTTCAAACTTGTTAAGGAGCCACAGTAAATTATCTATGCCCAATAATAATTAATAATAAGTCACCAAGCTTTCAAGACATCTTTAGAGGTTGCTACTAATTTCATGAAAGTTAGGCTTCATGTACATTCATTTAGCAAAAAATTGTTGTTTGAAGATGGCCCAAACTCTACGTTGATTGCCTGCATAATATTTGATGCAAACAATTTCAATTTACTAACCACACATTTGTAAAGGCAAGCATTTCATCTGAAAAGTTTCCTCCATCTTTGTTAGTCAAGCGTGGTGGGTCTCCCTTCACAACCTGAGTCAACTGATCAAATACGCTCTTCCATTTGGGATAAGGAAATTTTCCAGTGGCAAGTTCAATCTGTCATTTGATGTTAAAAAACAATTATTCTCATTAAAAATGAATCATAAGCACCTCTTTGGAGGTCACTCCCTCTAGTCTTGTCACCCATTACAAGATTGTTATCAAGAGGTAATTTTCCTAAGGGCAATCACACAGTACATTCCTTGAGGCTTCTGATGAAGAATTAATCTTCAAGCAAGGAATGAAATACAGACAGTCTGATTATCATCTAGACAGCTATTAAATTAAATAATTATTCCTTTTTTCAAGCTCAATGATTTAAAGTGTTGGAGAATACACTGAAGTTCATTTTTAACCCTTTCACTCTCAAGATCTCACAAGTAATTCTCCTTGATGTCTTCCATACAATTCCTGTGATGTTAGTTTGGAGAATTTGGTATGGGATCAACTGATAATCTCCTAATTTATATTTTTCTTTATTCCAAACACTCATCTGCTTGATAGTGTATTGATACTGTAACAAGAAATTCTGTCTTGGACACTCATGGGAGTTTAAAAATGCTTGCTGATCATCATAGGTGAATAGAACTTTGCTTCAAACAATCCCCAAGATGATGCTGAGGTGATTATTCAAAACTATTTATCAGCTAGTAATGACCATGGATTAGTAAAGTGCATTCGACCTAGCCTAGGAATGGGTGCTTTTGGCCCTGCATAATAAAATCCAGGGCATAAATAAACCTGTGACCATCAAATGGTGTTACAGCTCACAGTTCTGATTTCGAGTAACTCAAGGTGTTAATCAGTTGGGTGCAATTTATCTACATATCTTCCCAAGGCATTCAGATTGAAGTGAACCACACATCAAACACAATACAGCAGAACCCCACTAACTCAAACCCCCTGATAACTCAAACAAGATCTGATTTCCCTTGATCCCATGTTCAGTTATTTACTA